ACGATTGTTGAGCCATCAAAGTGCCTTCCCCGCCAAAGAATAGGGGAAGAGCTCCAATCGCAATGCCTCCTCGGGGACGCCATTAATCTTCAAGCTTCCCGCTAACTCCAGAAACCTTTGGACATGCTCTCGTGGTGATTCATGGGATAGCCCGTGGAAGTAAGCATTTTTTTGAATCATCGTCACGAGAGAGGCTTGATCTCAAAGTTGTTGGCGGCCACGGGTGGATGTAAGATGGGACATTGGATATCCACTGCCCTTGGAGCCCTGCAATAGCCCATAGTCCTTGGGCCTTCCTCGGCTTCCGCTTCTCCATTTGGGTATGGAAGCGGATTACACCTCGGTGTTTATTTCCTGCCATCTCAACTATAACTCCTTCAATTAATTCAATTTTGGGATCAATTTGTTGTCCCCTTTCTTCACTTCTCCTTCTTGCCTCCGCTTGCTACCTCTCTCGAGCTAGAAGTCACAGAGTCCGGTTGATGTCCTCGTCCAGTGGTGTCAAAGACGCCGGATTGCTCCGGGTCATGCACCTCCCTACACACACTCAAAGAACACAACATGGCTAGCACAAGCAAACACTTCACAACTTAAGGAAAATAGAAATTCAAACCTAGATTAACACCAAACAAATTTTTCACGTTAATGACCATTGTTCCCCGGAAACGGCGGCAAAAACTTGACTCGCTCTAACTATCACAATAAAATCCGACCTAAGGTCCAAGTATGAACCTTAGATGGGTGCAATATAGGGCAACTATGTTTAAATATCGACCCGGGCTGGTCCATGTACCACTACTTCAACTGTTTGAAACATTATCTAGCGGATCGATTTTGGTTAAAACAAAGGTTGACAACTAAATTACTTTGAAAAGGTAAAATGGATTTGACTCTCGTTGAGAAATCTTCACCCGGGTGTTGCTACCCCTAGCTAACAATTATGACTTGAAGAATGGAGCGACCGCGTGTGGTTAGGGGGTCATAAACCGCAGGGAAGTCTAACAAGCAACCAATGTTACCCTCTTAGACTCTAGGTTGAGGAATGGGATACGATCCAAGCCACTGATGTGAGCCTCTCAACCTATCGACTAAGGAATGGTTAGACTTCACCCTCGAATTGGAGTTCGGACGGCACCCAGAACCAAATCCTCAGTATTTAATACGAATTAGGAGGTTTTCCCTTTAACCAGCCTAACTAGGAGGCATAGAATGCCCAAGAAAACCCATATCTAGTAGAGCCTCTTAAGTTAATGAGGGTTCTCTCTAACCTAGCTAAGGAAGCATTGAATGCCCAAGGAAACCCATCTCAAAATGAGCCTCTTAGGTTAAGGAGGGTTCTCTCTAAACTAGTTTAGGAGACTTTGAATTCCCAAGGAAACCAAACCTCTTGGGTGAAGGACGTTTACTGTCTAAACTAACCTAGGAGGCACGAAATGCCCAAGAACCCCATCTCAATAATGAGCCTCTTATCCTAAGCAAGTTTCCTCTCTAAACTAGCCTAGGAGGCTTGAAATGCCCAAGAGCACCCAATAAAACTCCTAACCTGAGGAGTTCTCCTCTCTAATCTAGGTTAATTGGCAATTAGATTGATAGGCTTTCACACAACACAATAATTTCTGAATAATATATCCACATTCACATTAAAATACAACCACACACAAATCATTCAATTCATACAGGCATTCACATAATTTTAGCTAGGGTTTACAAACACCCAAGTGAAATAAGGGACTACTCAATGTTAGGAGAAGGGAAATCACAAAAGAGGGAAAGTAAAATCATCATGAAGATGCAAACCTTGCTCCTTGTGCTGAAGAAAACCCAATTTCCCTAGTTTTTCCTCTTCTTTAGTTCGTCACTTTCTCACTCTAAAATCTGAAGAAGGTGAAGTTTTTCTCACTCTAGGTCTCTCCTCTTTTTCGTTCCTTCAGCTTTCCTTTTAGGTGGGAGATCGCGCCGAGTTCACGATCATGAACATTGAAACGCGTCCGTGAACTCAGTGCCGCGACCAAAACGCACCGCTTCATTTGCTTGGGTTCACGGTCAGTGGCCCCCTGTTCACGATCTTTGCGACGGTGAACTGTCTGGGCGCCAGTAACTTGAAAACCCCGTTTGTTTGCTCCTCGCTTCACGGGTCATGGCTCCAGTTCACAGTCATGTAAGACCATAAACTCCAACGTCTGGCCGTGAACTACGACTGTTTCCACCTCCTTGCCCTGTCTTTGCTGCTTTTCTTCCAATTTTCGACTCCGCGTTTGATTTTACCTGTTAGGATCTGAAACACACTAAACCACAAGTAACCTCGCATAAAATCAACCTTTTTGGAGTTCAATTGCAACAAACGTCAAAGATAATCGGGGGTAAAAAGTGTACAATTAGGCCAGAATCAACATGATAACTACTTTGCTGCCATGTTTTATTTTGTACAAGTTACATAATTTTCGAAGCTATGTAATATGGGCATTTAAGTTAATATACTTGTTATATTCTCTGTAGGATATAAACAGTGAAACCAATGGGGAACATGGTCAAGTTGGCAAAACTCAGGATAACGATGAGTCTGACGAGTCCGACAAGAAGACTGCCCATGAGACTGTTGCTGTTGCATGAATTTCTTTTAATGCTATCGTAGGATTTTAAGTATGGCTTGAACTTTGGGATATTTTGTTTCATTTTTGGAGGATATTAAAACTTTTGAAATTTTGGTTGTTTGGTCGTAACTGGTGGCTACTTAGTCGATTTCAGAATATTATCATCTATGCATAACTTCGTTTGGATGAATTTCTTTGTGTGATCATCACTAGAAGTGTAATGGCGTCACAAATGAAATTTGGTCACGCTATTTGGTACAAATGTATCGTCCTCAATAGATATAATCTCACTATTGACAATTAGTAAGCGTCATTAGTAAATATAGTTTCTTCGGCGACACGTTGGAAAAGTTTATTTTGGACGATAAATAGTTGTCCTGAGTAAATATAATTTCTCCAACTACACATTGGAAAAGTTTTTTTTTACGATAAACATTTTGTCCTCGGAAATAATACTTTCTCCGGCGACATGTTAGCAAAATTTAGTTTTAACAAAAACTAGCTAGTTGGAATCAGTAAAATTAATATTTTTTAGTATCCGTGGAAAATACTACATTATTGACGCACAAACAGCCTCACAAATGTATGTACAACGTACCAAAAAAAATATGACCGCAAATTCTCGTCACAAATATTTATTTTCGATAAATTGTGGACTTTAGTATAATTAGTATTTATGACGGCTAGTCAGAATTTCTAGTTTAATTTTAAATATAAAGCATCAAATATAAATAAATTTGCCGTAAAAAACCCGTCAAATTCATCGGTCATGAGTGATTTCATTTGTGACGTCACTTATTTTATTACTAACAAATTTATGTCGTCGATAATATTTTATTTTGAACAAATGGTCAGTAATGTTTTATTAGCGACGGGACAATTTCTGACGACCAACGCAAATTTACTAATTGCGACAAAAAACGTATCGTTGATAATGACTGTGTTTTTTGTAGTGATTAGAACCATATACTACATTGATCTCACAAGCTTCCCTCAAGCTTCCACTCACTTAATATCTATGAAATTTTCTTCTGTAATCAATGGTGTAGTTGAAATATCACGCTTATGAAAACACGAACTCTTAACCAGTGGCGGAGGCAGCATTTTAAACCACCCCTGTCCTCTTTTATAGCTTAAATATATAAATATCTAATTAAGAAGTATTTAATAAAAAATAATTAAAATTAATTATTTCAAAATAATTCATTTATAGATTAAAAATAACCGACTATACAATCATAGTTTTCAGAAACAACGACGAAGGGATTTCATATTGTGAAAGAAACGCAAAAATATTCGTTGTGTACACTATTAAATAAGTCTCTTTCAGTGTATCTCGTTAAACAAGTATTAGCAAATTGATCGCCAAATAGATTTGGAAACTTGTTCTTAATATAACTCAAAGCTGAAAATCCTTTTTTTACACTTCTAGTTGTAATTGGTAGAATCAAAACTAGTGAAATTGCCGTTGTCGCTAGAACGAAACTTCTTATCTAGCGTTTCTTTCGGTTTTGTTCTAGCAATATATCTCCATCATCATTATAAATAAATAAATAAAAGATAGAGGGAGAACATCAATTGCAAGTGAGGGTGAAGTACTAGGAAATCCGATGGTTTTATTTGTGGCCACAAATAAATGCTCCTTTTTTCAGATGAAGAGGGCAATTATTGTACGAGGGGGAGAGGGAAAGAGAGGTTGGAGAGAAGATTAAGAGCTACTCTCGCGGCCGGCTAGTTGCGTTGTTGTAGATCCAAAGAGGCGGGTGGCCGGGCTGAATTGCTTGCTGTCTGTGGCTGCTGGCGCACTAATCCCTGGCTACTCACCACTACTACACATTTGACATTTGATCAATTGGGTTCCACGGCATAAATGTGTTTTGATATAAGGTATTGTTCCAAGTTTCAACAGTAACATATTGTTCTATGTTGCTACCTAGTAATATCATAATATCCGCCAATTTCATTCTTTTAATTAATTGAAGAAGAATATGCAAATTATTGATAAATCCTGGTGTTGGTGTCATCGTCCTGTAAAGAGTGGTGCAAAGCCTCCCAGAAGATCCCAACTTTACAATGTTTTTATGTCGACGTATTTTGCAACGTACGATAAAGTTATTGGTGACGGTTGACCCTCAGAGATGAAGAGGTCGAAACTCAGATAATGGTTGCAATTTGGTAAACAATTAACATGTTACAGCGATATTGTCCGCTTCGAATCAGCCTCGCATTGATGTACTCTTAGATTTCCTTCCAAGATTCTTCATACTAAACGAACTTGATGGTCGCTAATATACAAAGGTCAATCAATTCCCTCATATCTCTCGAACATAATACTTGGATTGTACCACAACATAACGAACTAGTTTAACGTATCCCAGTAACTCGAGCGGTTTGCAGTCCCGAATAAAAGGTATCCCAAATATCCAAAGGGTACATTGAGAGCATGTAAAAAACAAGCTAGCTAGTTTTCAGTGTGTGGCTCCGGAACGTTTGAATGCTGCAACCTCATCCCCCCAACCTCTCTATAAAAAGGGCCCTTCAGCTCTCACAAAATGCACCACCCCAAGAAGCCCTAGTGAGGCAACAATAACCCTACCCCCTTTCCCACTTCCCCCATGGCTTTCAGAGTGCTTGTGCTGATGCTTCTCTCGAGCCTGCTGGCTCATGTCATTGGGTCAGGTATGGCACAGTCCGTCGGTCCTGCCATCACTCACGACCCTTGCTTAGATCTTACCGAATACCAGTACGAGCCATCACCGGAGCTGCCTTTGGGTCGTCGGAGTTTCCCTAAAGGCTTCGTGTTTGCCTCAGCCACAGCTGCTTACCAGGTAGTACTATATATTGTTCTTTCCTATTCTTAACTAACGTACCTATCTACATTTCTACACGAGGACCATTCACCTTACTGAGACACTGGAACACCATTGCTCTCATGAAACACACTAACCACTGAAGATAATAACCGGTTACAAGGACACATGACTTCTATATAACCTATAAACCTAGATCTGCACCATTGGACTATTTGTATGTATGGACAAGGACTATATATGGACATATTTCATTCCATCATCAGACAGATTTGATTACCGCGAAGAAGCTGAGAAACCTGATGACATACGATAACATAATTTAATAATCATGATCTCGCGGTTCAATAATATTGTTATTATTATATCTTTTCTGGCTAATCATTTCATTTATTAACTCCTTTTGTTTCCTGTTTTGTTGTTGTTTCCTTTATTGACTCCTTTTGTTCATTATTGTTGTTGTTGTGTTGCGTTGCTGCTGTGGGACGAAGATCGAGGGTGCTGCTAATCAGTATTGCAGAGGCCCAAGTATTTGGGACAGATTTGCTCATGAGTTTCCAGGTCTGTAGCTTATAAATGGCCGGCCTGTAAGCTGAGCTTACCTCCATCTGCGGTAATTAGGGTTTTGATGTATATGTGATATGTTGATGACTGCAGAGAGGATAGCAGATGGGAGCAATGGAGATGTGGCACTGGACCATTATCACCGCTTGGAGGTATATATATGTTTTTCTCATGTATTTACATATTGGGTTTGACTTTGCCTGACAACAATTTGTTGACTAATTTGGAATTTCCTTCAACGTACGTACAGGAGGATATCATAAGGATGAAGTTCATGAATCTGGATGCTTACCGATTCTCCATCTCCTGGACTAGAATCATACCATGTGAGAGCAATATTTTCGCTTCTCTCCGACCGTGTTCCTTTTTTTTTTTTTTTAGAGTTATAGTATGAATCATTGATGTTTAAATCGTGGGAACACAGACGGAAAGATCCAGGCCGGAGTCAATGAGCAAGGAATCAAGTTTTACCACGACCTACTCGATTTGCTCGAGAAACATGGTACAAAGAATAATTAATTGAACTGTGGCCTTAAGTTTGTTACTGATGAGTCAGACAACTGATGCAATAATTATAATTTGTAGGACTGGAGCCTTACGTGACCATATGGCATTGGGACACCCCTCAAGCCCTGGAAGCTGAGTATGGTGGATTCTTAAGCCGTAACATTGTGTAAGTAATTCATACAAAAATAAATGTACGTTTCTGTTCCATATGAATCTTCAATTCCTTGTGTTAACCATGTTGGCTCCGTGATTATACACGCAGGAAGGATTTCGAGGATTACTGCGACTTGTTGTTCAAGGAGTATGGCCACAGAATAAAGAAGTGGATCACTTTGAACGAGCCAATGGTTCATGTTATGCGAGGCTACGACGAAGGGCTGCACGCACCGGGACGCTGCTCCGTGTGGGCAAACCGTGCCTGTGTAGCCGGAGACTCCGCAACTGAACCTTACATCGTCACCCACAACCTCCTCCTTGCTCATGCCGCTGCTTACCGTTTGTACGAGAAAAAGTACAAGGTCAGTCAGTCGAATATATCTCTTTTTTTTTTTTTTTTTTGGCATCAATATTATTACCTACTAAAAATTTAGTTATAACACGTACATATTCGCGCAGGCGGAGCAACAAGGGGCAATAGGGATCACCGTAGTCACGTTCTGGTTCATTCCTTATAACCCCGATGACACCGCAGACGTTGATTCCGTCAAGAGATCTCTGGACTTCAACTATGGTTGGTACTTGGATCCTCTTACCTATGGTCGCTACCCAAGAAACATGGTGGATCTGGTCGGATCTCGTCTGCCGACCTTCACCGAAGAAGAGTCGCACATGCTCAAGAACACGTACGATTTCATAGGTCTCAACTACTACACCACCTATTATTCCAAGAACAACACCGAATTCGACCCTGTGCATCTTCGATACACTCTCGACTCCCGCGCCATTAACACTCGTACGTTCTCCCATCAAAATATGCACCAACTATTGTGTTGAGTAAAAGTATTCTGAAGCAATGATCTTACTTGTTTCAACAGCTGAAAAGGACGGAGCCTATATTGGTGAACCGGTACGTAATTTAGAACGTGATGATAAGCTTTGCCAGCTTCTTATTATATAAACAAACAAGTTGGAACAAAAATGGTAGTATTTATTTATTTGTTTGGTTTCATTTGGCAGATGGGTTCCTTCTGGCAGTTTTTATACCCTGACGGGCTCCGACTGCTTTTGGAGTACACCAAAGAAACATATGGGGATCACGATATCTACATCACCGAGAACGGTAGCTATCCATAGCTTAAAATATGGATTACAGACTCGTTAATTAGTAAACTTGTGTTATTTATATTCTAATTAAAAAAAAAACAAAACAAACAGGAATGGGGACACAGGAGGACCCTAAACTGACACTCGCAGAGGCGAGAGCCGACACGATGAGGGTGAACTTCTACAACGCCCACCTCGCAAGCATTCGCCAGGCGATGATCGAGAAGGAGGTGAAGGTGAGAGGGTTCTTCGCCTGGTCGTACGCCGACAACTACGAGTGGAACGACGGGTACTCGGTCCGATTCGGGCTCAACTACGTCAACTACACGGATCTCTCCAGGCACCCTAAGCACTCTGCCTGCTGGTACACCAATTTCTGCCGCCGAGACCCGCCCAGGGAGGATAACAACCTGAAGATGATCACCGCCGGCCCTGCTTCCGCCGCAGGCGGTCGCAAGTCACTACTCCGCCGCCCAGCAGCTTACGCTAATTAATTAGTGCCCTGCCGCGTGTGCTTAAGGATGTTACTGTGTAATATTCGTCTCGACGACGACGGAGTAGTATTAAGTATGGAAGAATAAGAAGGGATCTGACGGTCACTACACTGAGCACGATCGTGGTGAATACATGCAGCCGTATAAGACATGCATCATGATGATGATCAGGTGGCCTTGTGATCCAATTTGTCATTTTCCTTTTCTTTCTGTGTATGAACTGTTGTTGTTCAGTGAATGGCGACGGATGTTATGTTGTACCGTGTACTGTTGTTGTTAACAAATGAATAAAAACTATTATTAAACAAATGATGATTCGTGAAATCCGTGATTAGTACTCATTCCCTGACTCCCAAAAATAAAGTAGAAAATGAAACGAAGGCAGTGATGATCTGAGGATAATAATTCAGTCTTGACCCTCCAGTACGTGGTACTGTGGCGCTAACCCTAGCCAGCTTGCCAGCATGGACAGTGTACGTTCTCCCTGCAGAAGCCGCGGCCCGTGTTTCATTTTCCCACTAGCCGCCGAGCTGGCTGGTCCAGCCTTTTTCTTCGCTGCGCCGGCCCAATGCCCTTGACGGCAGGAATGGGGAATTGGAGAGGGAGTGGTGAAATGACTAACACAGGGATAAGAAGCTTGTACGAGGCAGACAGAGGTAGTTTATTTCCTTCTGAAATTTGTATTTTTCCGGTCGAAATTACTTCAATTAATCTCGAAATTTGGCATGGAGTTGGAATTGAAAAAGTCAAAAGATCCTTTAACATGTGACTGTTCATACCCACAGCTAGCTCGTACGAGTTAGACGTGGACAATACATTGAAGAACTAAATAAGAAAATAATCGACCAACACAAATTAATCCTTACCCTCACTTAATATTATAGCCATTCAAAATCAAAGTAGTAACATATCAGCCCATGAAGTGCTCTCAGCCTCTCACCCATCATTGTAGGAAATATTTGAATTATTTCCAATCTTATCATAACAGAATTGAAGTATGAACTGATATAATGAACGATTCACACTTTACTGGTTTGACATGTATTAGAATGTTAGTGAACCAATATTCAATAAATAGGAATTAACAAAAATATTATAAGAATTACAATCTTTTTTATACACATTCTATGATATTATGCATATTTTGTAGTGATTTAAAATGTTAATGATGGAACTATAATTATTTTTGTTGGGGGATTGCTATTCGTCGTCCTAAAACTCCTTATACATCGCCCTAATTATGTTAAATTTACTCTAGTGTCTTTAGTTTATTTTTAATATCTCTTAAAATAATTAATATGTTTAATTAATTTGTGTATATAAAATATTCTTTACATTAATTATTTTTGGTAGAATTACATTAATTTTTTAACCGTAAAGATCAATTTGTTCATAGAGATGCTTTAAACTTTAAAGTTTCCCGGCCACTGCCACCACACATCTTTCGTTCCATCACTCCGGCCGCTGCTCGAAATACCGAAAAAGACAAGAAGAGATGCAAATATGTGTAAACCTACAATTGCATCGAATCCTAACTTCACCCTCCACGTCGTTGGACACCATCACCATCCTCAAATCCACAATCCAATCCCGCGGAGCAACAATTTCAATCGCGGACCCGCCCGACGAATAGACTACCACTTGATCCACGATGGCAAGCTTCTGGACGATGTCAACCTAACCGTAGACGAACTCCTCCTGGTTAACAACGACGACGAATAGCAGTGGTGGCGGGGAGCGACCCTGGCGACGGTGGCAGCGGCAGCGGAGACTAGTTCTGGGGTGGACGACAGCTTTTTTGCGAGATTTTGAGAGCCGGGTTTGGGGTTGGGGACAGAATATTTGCTACGGTTAAGTTTAGGTTTAAAGTTAGGGGTATATGTATGTCAATGTACTGTGGTTTAGGGCGCATTTTTTATTTATTTTAGGGCGACGAATAGCGATTCAGATCAAGAAACTACTTTTTTCTGACAAAAGATAATCATATATTGATTGAACAAAATAGACAGGTACATCCTGGAACTCAGCCAGACCTGATAATCAAACAAATGACTTGTAGTCGGGTACAAAGACAGGGCTTTTCGAGCCACCAAATGAGCTACCCTATTGTTACGCTGACCTACAAATCGTACAGTAAAACCCATGTTCACGTCAAAAAGCTGAACCACCTCCTCAAAAATCGACCCCATTCGATTATCCCTAGCATCCCGCTGAAGAATCTACTCAATGATCTCCTGGGCATCCCCTTCAAATCGCATTTCCGTAAAACCGCTAGCCAAACACCACACGATAGCCTCCCAGAGAACTAGCACCTCAATCATTAAAAAATCGAATTAATATATTGCAGCAGGTTACCATAATTTTTTTTATAAAAGGACTTGTATTAGTGCATTAAGGGGATTACCAATCTTAATCATTAAATAAACCTTAAAATTTATCAAACGAAAAAAGAACCCTAAAAGCAAACACCAATCGTTCCCTCCGCCTTGTCTCTTTCTCTCACGTTTCTCCCTCGATCTCTCTCTCCTTTTCGGCCTTTCCTCTTCCTCTCTAAGCGGCCCAGCAGCTTACGCTAATTAACAGGGCAGCCAAAAGGGTGTGCCGGAAAGTATGGCAGCAGATAGGGTCAGTAACCATTGGTTACTGACCTGTCAGTATTAAATCCGGACCGTAGATCTAGGGATGGCATTATTATATTGCTGGGCTGCACGTGGAGTGAGGAGGGGCATTTTTGTCCGATATTTAAAATTTGATTTCTTTTCTTTTTTTATTTTTTCCAGCATTTGTATTTGTTGTTTTTTAATGGAGGAAAGAGAAAAAGCAGACTTTTCTCTTCCTCTCTCTTTTCTCTTTCTTCCTTTCTCTCTTCCAAAATTCTTTTTCCAGATTTAAATCTCCTTTCTTCTCTTGTTCTTCATTTTTTTCTCCAACAATCGATGAAGAAATTGCAGCCTCCCACTTCAAATTCGGTGACGCTCCAAATCCTTCTACTCTCAAGCTGCTCCTTCCTTCTGTTTTTTTCTTTTCTCGGCCTCAAAATCGATGATGCTCCATATTGTCAAAGAGGGGACAGATCTAGGTGAGTTGAGTTTGCATCTTTTGTGTTTTATTATTTGTTTGTGAATTAATTCCGATCTTCTTCCTCTTTTTCTTTCTTTTTGCATTCGGTGTTCTTCATTGTGGAGGAGTAAATGAGAGGAGACAGAAGACGAATTTTTTTCCTCTTCCTCCTTCTGTTTCCCCTTCTTTGAGAATATATATTGATATTACCACACTATACCATATGGTAATGTGTGCTAACTAAGTGTATTTTTATAGTCACGAGTTTTTATCATAGTGGTAGTGGGTGGTAATCGACACCGGCCAGTTCCGAGAAAGAAGAGTTAGAAGACAATGAAGGGAGAGAAGAAAGTGAAGAAAGTCGTAATTGTATATATATATTGAGATCACCACACTATACCATATGGTAATGTGTCCATACCATATGGTAATGTGTCCATACCATATGGTAATGTATGGTAACGAAATGTATTTTTATGAATATCATGTTTTTACTATGGTCGTAGAGGGTTGTAATTAGATTTACATGGTTTTACCTTCTCATACCATGTGGTATTATATGGTAATTATAATTAATTTGTGGTCCTTTGATTTACCATGTTCTACTATGGTGGTATTGTATGCTAGTTAGATTTATAATTTTCTGTAGCGTGGTTTACCAAGTTATACCATGTGGTGGTAGTTTGATTTGTAATTTTATTTTAGCATGTTATACCATATGGTAGGGTATGGTAATTAGATTTGTAAATCTCTGTAGCATGTTTTACCACGTTATACCATGTGGTATTGTATGGTAGTTAGATTTTTAATTTTCTTCAACATATTTTACCATGTTTTACCACGTTTTACCATGTGGTATTGTATGGTAGTTAGAATTGTAATTTTCTTCAACATATTTTACCATATTTTACCATGATAGTAGAAAGTGATAAACACATTTTGTACTTGTAATTAGTGTCTTTAACAATGTGTTATTTAACGAAAAAATCATCATTCAATTTGAGCTGGAATTAGTTTAGAGATAGTTAGGATGGTTAGATTCATTTTTGTTGAGAGAGAAGAAATCATATATTTTTTTCTTTTAATAATAAAATAAAACAAAGAGTGAGAGAAAGGGGGGAACCAGACAACCAGTGTGGGGTGGGGAGTGGGATCCGCGTCGCGTCAGCGCATCAGAGACATCGTTAAATAGGGGGTGCAATTTTACCTTAGTGCCCCTCCGTGTTTTTTTAAATAAAAAGAAAAAGCTGACACGTGGGGGCCATGGGAAGGGGTTACTGATGGTTACTGAGGTGATCCGGTCCCGGAAAGTATAGGACCTCCACCTAGATTGTTAGTTTATTCAATTGTATATTGAGTGTTGTATTTGTAGCAAATGATTAGTTTGATGATGAGTTTAATTATAATAATTATTATTAGTGTTAGTCGTTGGTTGATATTCTCATCTATATACAATAGACACGTATAAGGATTGTTAAAGTTTTGTTTGTGTTTGAAATTCCTATTTGTATTAAAAAAATATACAAAATTTTTAATAAAATAACTATAATAACAATTAATAATAATCTCATCAAGTATAAAAAAAATTAAAAATATATAATCATTTTAATTTTATTACACTTAAAAATTAATTTGAACAACGTCTCAATTTCAGAACAGGGGCTCCACCATCCATTAGACCGTCTTGCTAATTAATCAAGAATTAGTGCCCTGCCCTGCGCATCCTAGCTTAAGATCGATGATACCATGTATTATTGAATTGCACACCATATACGATCGAATACATGCAGCATACAAGACATGCATTCACATCGGACCAAACCAAAGTTTGGGCAGGATCGCAACAGACCGAGTTTAATGTCGTTCGGTACTTGGTCTATATGAGTTTTACAATTACTAAAGAAATGATTGACCGAGTTGATATTTAGATCGGACTGAACCGGAGCAAACGGATAGAACGCAATTATGGTTCAGTCCTTGATTCTAATATGTCTTTCACTAATGAATCACGATTCTCATAAGTTTAGTCTGGTCCGAACCGGACCGAACTTTTGCATGATCAGGTGGCCTTTGTGATCTGATTGATCATTTTCCTTTGTGTGTGTGACAATAAACTGTTGTTGTTCAGTGAACCACGACGGATTATGTGTGTACTGTGTACTGCTGCTGCTGCTGTATTTCCCCCACCAGCTAGCTAGCCTCTATTATTAAATAAATGGTGATTCGTGAATCCGTGATTAGTACTTATTTACTGATTCCGCGAACAAATAAAATTAAATGA